TTAAAATCAAAGGAGAAATAAGGAGCTTCCCAGACAAGAAAAAGCTAAAGGAATTTCTTAACAACAAACAAGTACTTCAACAAATGTTAAAGAGGCTTGCTTTATGAAGAAAAAGGAAAGAGCCCGGGCTGGTGCGGCTCAGTGGACTGAGTGTTGGCTTGTGAACCAAAGGGTTGCTGGCTCGACTGCCAATGAGGGCACATGCCTAGGATGCCAGCCAGGTCCCCAGTGGGGGGTGCACAGGAGGCAACTACGCATTGATTTTTCTCTCCCTCTCTCCCTCCCATCCCCTCTCTCTAAAATAAATAAATAAAAACTTTAAAAAGAAGAAGAAGAAGAAAAGAGGGGGAGGACGGGGGGGGAGATAAAAATATGAATAATAAAATGGCAATAAATACATTTCTAACAATTTAAATACAAATGAATTAAATGTTTCAATCATAAAACAGTATGGCTGAATGGATAAGAAACAAGACCCTTACAAATGCTGTCTACAAGAGACTCAGTTCAGATTGAAAGACACGCACACACTGAAAGTAAAGAAATGGAAAAAGATATTTCATGAAAATGGAAGGAAACAAACAAACAAACAAAAGCTGGTGTAGCAACACTTATACTAGACAAAATAGACTTTAAAACAAAGGCTGTAGGAAGAGACAAAGAGGACCCACCAATCCCATTTGTAGGTATTTATCCAAAGAAAACCTAAACAATAGAAATAGAACAAATAGAAAATAGAAACAAATAGAAAAGACACATGCATCCATATTTTCATTGCAGCATTATTTACAGTAGCCAACCTATTGGAAGCAACCTAAGTGCTCATAAATAGATAAATAGATTAGAAGTTATGCATATATACAATGGAACATGACTCAGCCATAAAAAAGAATAAAATCTTGTCATCTGCAACAACATGGATGGACCTAGAGGATATTGTGCTGAGTGAAATAAGTCAGACAAATGCCATATGATTTCACCTATAAGTGGAATCTAAAAAACAAAATAAATGAACAAACAGAATATAAATAGACTCATACAGAGAACATTTTGACATTTGCCAGATTGAGGAGGTGGGGTTGGAGGATATGTGAAAAAGGTGAAGGGACTGAGAAGTACAATTTGGTATTTATAGAATAGTCATAGGGATGTAAAGTATAGCATAGGGAATATAGTCAATAATATTGTAACAACTATGTATGGTGTCCAGATGGATACTAGATTTATGAAAGTGATCACTTCTTAAATTATATAAACAACAAATCACTGGGTTGTACACCTAAAATTAATATAGCAGCATATGTTAACTGTAAATGAAAAATGAAAAATTATTTTAAAAAAACAACTTAGCAATCCCCGGCTGGGGTGGCTCAGTAGATCGAGTGCCAGCCTGCAAACAAAGGGTTGCCAGTTCCAATCCCAGTCAGGGCACACGCCTGGGTTCCAGGTCAGGTCCCCAGCTGGGGGCGTGCAAAAGGCAACCACACATTGATGTTTCTCTCCCTTTCTATCTCCCTTCTTTCCCTTCTCTCTAAAAACAAAGAAAATCTTTTTTAAGAAATAAAATTAAAATACAATAAAAAGCTAGAGTATACAAATCTATGTGCTATCGAGAAATAAAAGCACACATCCATACAAACACTTGTATACAAATGTTCATAACAGCTTCTTCACAATAACAAAAAACTGCAAACAACCCAAATGTCCACCAAAAGGTGAACAGATTAATTGTAATATAACCAAGCAATGGAATATTGGCAAGCAGTAAAAGAGATGAATCTCAAATAATCATGCTGAGTTAAAGAAGCCACACACACACAAAAAGTGCAAACTATGTAATTCCAGTTATATGAAATTCTAGAAAACACAGCCTAATCTATCACAAAAAGCTGCCCAGTGGTTGCCTAGGGACAGGGGCTGGAGCGAGGGGACTGACTGCAAAGGAGCTTCAGGAAACTTCTGCCGATCACTGTGGTGGAGTTTACCAACTATGTATGTTTGTCCAAACTCATCAAACTGTCCACTTACAATGGGTGAATTTTATATAAATTGTGTATACGTTATGCCTCAAAATAAACAAAATAAAGTCATAAGGCAACACTGCCTTTTCTATAAAGGTAAACCTTCTGCTTTCCATACTCACGGAAAGAACACACACAAGAACTACCATTCACTTAATGTTGTTGAGAAATCTTTATTACAATATGCGAATTTTGTAAACTCAGCATGAGGAAACAACCCAAAACTGCTAAGTGTCCTTTTATATCTCAGTCTCCTTTAACTAAAGACTCAAGGAAACTTATAAAAGAGTTTTTCAATTCTGAATAGAGGTACTTATTCTAGATAAAATTTAATAAGCAACACAGAGGTTAACCAGGAAATCTGTTAAGAAGCTTATAACCAGCCACAAGGTTACCTAAACCTGCAAGGTTCCAGAGAACTGTGTAAAAAAAAAAGAAAGGATAAAGGAGATTTAAGAAGATGCAAGAGCTTTTATACGAAAATTTAGACAAATTTAACAATGGTATTTTCAATTATTGTAATTCTACTTTCACATAAAGAACCCTGCAAGGATGAAGAATACAGAGATTATTCCTCAAAGCTGAAAGTAAGGAAACATAAAGAAAACATCCCTAATTTTTATCTCATGAAGTTCTCTCAAGAGAGGACCACTTACTTGGTTAATTCTTCTGAAAGAAAGATGTTTTTCTCATTAAGTCTCAAAAATTAATAAATATTTTACTTGTTTTATAATATTAAGCACTGATACTTTTTAAGTATACTTTCCTGTTGACACTTAAACATTAAAATTAAAATCTGCAACATAAGCAATAAATGAGGGCAAGGAGAAGAAAGGCGGTGTAAGCAATTTTCAAGTTCAAATAACTACAGCAATATGTAGCATGCATATTATATGGATTTGGTTAGTTCTGAGGTGATGTGCTACTACTTTATCTTCTACCTTATGTTGTCATAAAAGTCAATTCAGTAAATCACTCACTGCTTGAGAAAAGATATTTAAGATCTGAACTGGGTTAACCTTGCCTTTTGTAAAGTAAGAATAGCAGTAATTACCATATGTACTGTTTATTGTTCAAATTCCACACACATTTATACCTTCAAGCCTTTTTGGGCTCTAACCCTTCTACCTATCCTTCCACCTATGATGCCCTCTCCCTTTATTGCACCTGTCTGGATTTTTCCCCTCTCTGGCCACCTGTCTTCATTGGCACATGTTCCTTGAGCCCTTGAGCCAGAAGCAATCTCTGTCTTCTGAAATCCTATAGCTCTTTTCTAGTCTCTTATGGCACTTAACACTTTCTATCTTATACTATACTTCTTCAACTCCAGTAAACTCTCTTCTACTCTATCTTTGCAAAGAAGGTCCATGCTTTATTCAGCCCTGTATTTCTCATAGCACTTAGTGCCTAGAACTAAGCATATTTTGGTTGTGCTGCCTAGAATGGAGAGGAAAATATTCAACACTGTTTTTTAGGCATGTGTGCCTTGCACTGTCCTAAACAAATACCAATGATAGAGACCAATTCTAGATCTACTAGAGACATAGACATATAAACAGATTGATACAACGTAACTGCAGTGTTATAATAAGGGATGAATAGGGTGCTACAAGGGGAACATTACATATGTTGAAAATCATTCTAATTCCATAAATCATATTAGGAAACTAAGTCTAGATTTTTTTGAAGGGCCCAATGACTAACAAAGTTTCAAAAGTGGTATAATAAGGGCTCCTTAATCTTAAAAAAAATTTCTTACACTACACCTATGTAACAACCTTACTTGCAAAAAGGGAGTAGCAAATTCCCCTCTATTCTCAGCACAGCCCTCCACCAGGCCTGGCGTCACTATCTTTAAACAAACTTGCTCATCCCATACTTCTCACCTCTGCCTCAATTGTGCACCGGGTCCATACACCATGCAAAGTCCTTCTCAAGACCTACTTCTTGAACTCTCTATCACACATTACTACATCCTCCAAATGTATATTGTCTTATACTACTATCTGTACCTTTCCTTTTTAACAATGATAATAATAAAGTTAATTCTTAACTTTTTATATAATTTGGAGTTAGGCAGAAGTGGCCTCACATCCAAAACGTGCTACTGACTTGCAATGTAAAGTTGGGCAAGTTACAAAACTTCCTTTAACCTGTTTCCTCATCATTAAAATTGGGACTAACTTGAGTGATGCGTACGAAGTGCCTAATATACATGCATACTCATACATATATACATTGCATACATGGAGACTTAATTTTATTATTCTTTATTTTCCAAGAACAGAGAAACAAACTCTCTTCAAAAGGAGCAAGAGCAATGAAACATAAAGTGGGTACTAAAAATTGGACGGGTTAACACAAAAGACACTCACAGTCTTTAAATGTGCCCTCGAGACAACTCACACAAGACACCTTCGGTATAATTTCTCTTCTGTCTCCTAGTGTAAACCATGAAAAACTCAAAGGCAAACAAGAGACAGAGAAAGGTCCTACTGGTGGCCCTAACACCGACACCCTTCTCGAGAGTCTGTCTGCCTAGGTACAAGCAATGACGCTGTATGAAATGGTCGAGAGAATATCATCTATGACATAAATAAAATAATATACAAATTATTTTAATCTGCATATCCTTCGGAAGAAAGCAAAATCACTTCTTCGAATTTCAGCCTCAGGTGAGAAAGTCCAAATGGGATGGAGGCTGAGTCATCCATTGAATCATCAATCTCTGCCGCACTCGGGAACGGGAACACTATCGCAACGTTCTCCACGGGAGCCCCGGAGTCCCGGGCATCATCCCACCTTAAGCCCCTACCTCCGCCTTCCTAAAGTCCCCACCTCCGACGCACGTCCCTGCACTAGCCGCACCCAGTCCAGCCCTTGGCTCTGACCTGGGGTCAGGTATCCCCACACCAGGGTCCCCACCCCAGCCCCTCATCCCAATTCTGGATCCTACCTACACCTCACACCGGCACTCACCCGGGCGGTGACCTTATACACCGTGTAGCCCCTTGGGTGTCGCTGAGGCTCGGTGACAGTGTAGAAACGGGCCAGGTCGGCACCCCGCTCCCGGGGAGAGGTCATCCTCCCGCCGCCTCTGCCGCCGCCGCCTGCCGGGGACCATCAGGGCAACCCGGCGCCGAGACTCTCCGGGTCCCCCAAACGGCGGCGAAGCGGCGGCCCAGCAGCTTGGGGGCGGTGGCTCCACAGCGGCGCCGCCGGCGCACTGCTCAGCTTCCGGCTTGGCAGAGAAGCTTCCGGGTCAGACCCCTTCTAACATCTAGCGGGAGGGAGGCGTCGTTTTCAATTCCGAACCTCATCGGGCCTGGGTTTTGCTAGTCATCGAGGACTAGATGGTCACACCGCCCCTCTCGCCCCAGCGGAGAACTGAGACGTCTCTACCAAGTCTCCTTGTGCGCTAGATCCGTCACCTTGTGGATTTTGTGACAGCTGTGACAGCCACAACACTACGCTAACAGCTTGGTCCTCCCGGTCCCTGTTCAGCTTGTGTACACTATTAAATAAGGGATGGAGAGATACGCTAGCCGAGCATCTTCTTTCCTAGCCGAGCATCTTCTTTCCTTCCCTATTCACGCTCTATCGCTTCAAATACCCACAACAACATCTGAACTCTCGGCAGACATAACCCTTTCTTCTTTCAATCTGGAATTCTGTCCACCCGTCCACCTGTCTTTCTACCTCTACAGCAAGCCCAACCCTATATTAATCTTAAAATTCATCCCCTCAGATTCTAAAAGCGGGAGTCTGCGTCTAACTGGGGGAAAATAAATCACAGGCGCTCTCAAGATTACAAGATAAGAGTCTCCGGTTTCAATTGACTGCTGTACACTGCTTGGCAATTCCTTTACCTTTTCCTTGATCAGGATTCTTTCTCATTCCCCTTAACGGTCATTCCAAGTCTTTGCCATTTTCTGCAATCCTCTGTTCCTCTTTTGCCTCCCTACCCTTTGCCCTCTGCCACCACTTCTTTAGGGGGGGGGGGGGAAGAGAAACCCTTAGCAACAAATAATCCCTCCATGTTCTCACATTTCCATTCTGATCTGATATGTAGACATAGCTCTTCCCTATTTTTAAGACTAATCATTCCACCTGCACTCTGAAACCTATCTTCTTTGGCAAACACTGTTTCATCAGTGACATCCCAGCCCTGCTTTCTGTACCTTTAATCGCTTCCTCACCACTGGCTCCATTTCTGCCTACATATACATAAATCTCTCATTCATTCATTCAACATGAATTCATTGCCCACTATGCACCAGACATCATGTTAATTGGGCATTGGAGTTAAAAAGAGAGTCCCTGTTCTCACATGCCATCTAGTAGGAAAAAACGGAGAACAATTAAAATTTATTGCAACAAGTACCATGGCAGATGAATATATTGAGTGCTATAGAACACATCTAATTCGGAATGGAAGATTAGCTAAGGTTTTCTGATAGATAGAGGGAAAACTGTGACTGAAAGGGAGATAGGAAATAGCCAAGTAGTGTACTCTGGGGAGGGAAGAGAATTTGATTTCCAGAGTTGTCACATTATTATATCCAAAATGTCCAGTTTTCAACAAAAAAATGGTGAGACATCCAAGAAGACATGGCCCATAATTAGGAAAACAGCAATCAATAAAAGCCATGAGAAAGCCTAAATGTTGATCTTTACTAGACAAAGATTTTAAATATGTTCAAAGAGCTAAAAGAAAGCCTGTCTAAACTGGTCAAAGCCAAAACCAAAACTGGTTCAGAAAAAAGAGAAAATCTAAATAGGCTTATAACAAAGAAAACTATTGAATCAGTAATTAGTGGTGATGATGGCACACTGTTGTGAATATACTAAAAACCACTGAATTACACACTTAAAAATGGTTAAAATGGTGAATTGTATGTTATATAAATTTTATCTCAATTAAAAAAAATTTACAATGAGAGACCACCTTTGAACTACAATAATGGCTAAATTTTTTAAAACTGACACTACCCAATGTTGATAAGGACAGGAGTTCCAGTTGGAACTTTCATAGGTTGCCAGTGGGAATTCAAAATGATACAGCCACATTAGGAAACAGTTGAGCAGTTTCTTGTTGTATAAACACACACTTACCAGATGTCCCAGCAATCTCACTCCTAGGTACTTTCTCAAGAGAAATAAAAATATATGTCCACATAAAGACCTATGTGAATATTCATAGCAACTTTATTTATTCATAATAGTCAAATTTCCACCTACCAATGCAGTACCAGAATAACTAAAGGAAAAAATACTGATAATAATAGCAATTTCACTCTCGGATATATTCCCAGGAAAAATGAGTTGGTACACCCATTAACAAAAGGCATATTTTTTAAAAAGTTCTAAGCATGATTATTCATAAGATCCAAAAAGTTGACACAACCCAAGTGTCAATCAGCAGTAAAATGGGTAAGTTAAATGCAGTATAAAGTCACACCATGGGATTTACATGGCAATGAAAAAGAACGAACTGCTACGTTAATCAACAAGGATAAATATTACACACATAATGTTAAATATAAGAATGTAGGTATAAGAGTACATAGTCTGTGATTCCATTCATATGAAGCTCAGGAACAATTAAATCTAATCTATGGTGATAGACGATAGTGGTTCTCCATAGAATCGGGGGTGGCGGAGTGAAAGCTACAATGGGAATTGCCTGGGAAGCACAGGGCAGACTCCTCTGGGATGCTGGAGGAGTTCTAAATCCTGTTAGTGGTTACATAAGTATAGACATATGAAAACATTTATCAAGCTAAACACTTAAGATTTATGCACTTTACGGTGTGTATGTTGTATCCCACTTAATAAATTTTTTTAAATTAAGAAAACATAAACTACCTTGGTCTTCCTAGCCCCCTCCAATTCATCCTTCATATTTCCATTTTTTTTTTATTTTTTTTTTATTAATTTATTTACTTTTTAAATACATTTGTCTCTGCCTTCCCCCCCCCTTTCCCTTGCCCCCTCCCACCTTCCCTTCCCTCCATTTTAATTATTCATTTTTAAAGCATATGCCATTATGTTTCTCCATTAAATTCTTCAGTGGATCCTGTGGCCATATTTCTATGTCATAGTTTTTAGGATCCATCGTGCCTGGTCCCTACTCAACTGTCAGTCTCATTTCTCTGGGGTTCAGCCAAACCCTTTGCAATTTGCACCCCCAGATCTTCAAGCCATCTGCTTTTTTTTTTTAATCCATACCAGCCTTCAGGAATCAGCTCTCTCAAAGACTGATTTCTCTCTGAAGCCCTCTTAACAGTCTCCATCTTTTTTTCCCCCAAAAGATTAGATGCTCCTTCCCCTACTGCTCCCACATCTCTATTCGACATTGCAGCTACAGCACCTGTTTCAGAGTCATGATATGTTGGCTAAGTTAGGACTGACAAGTTTTTATCCCATTACACTGTGAGCTCCTTAAAGGCAAGAGCTGTTTTTCCTTTGTATTCCTACCCTCAGTATCTGCTGCAGTGGACGGAAGATAAGAGGTATTTGCAGAATGCATGAACTCCAATGTTCTAAAGATTTTTTTCCTCCCAAATTAAATGTATTTTTATAATTATTTGTTTTATCTTCTTTCCCAAAGTCATTGCATATAACTACTGATACGAGCTTGTGACCAAAATGAAATAACAAATGTACCTATATTAAACTCATACATGTATTATCAGTCAAGAGCACAGAACTCAAGGTTTCGGGAAACCTTTGCTTTCTTGTTGAAGACCTTCCTTCAATTTCAATTAGATTTTTCAAAATACTGTAATAACCCAAAGACTCCCTTAAATCTTTTTTTTACCTCTAGGATCCCAGACTTTACAGGTTTAAATAACTATTTATGAACTAAAGAGTCATTAAAAAGAATAAAACGATACATACCTTACACTTTGATGTTAGCATTCATGAAAAACATACACTGCTTCCAGCTAATGTCTACTTTTGTCATGGGCAGAGTCAAAATACTTGGTAAAGGTATCACTAAATAATCATTTATTTATTCATTATGTAGACTAACAAAAGACATGGTTTTTCTCCCCAAATGGGTATTAGACAACCACCAAGTCTGTTGCCATTTCCTGCACGCAACTTTCTCATGCTTTCATCTGCCTTCCCATTTCTTAGCCTCCCCTCCTCTGCATCCAAAGAACTTTGCTGAGATCTGCCCTTGCCCTTGAAAACCTTCCTAGCAAGATAACTCTAAGGGCCCTAACACAGACCAAGGTGGGCAGCAAGATTATTTGTCAGAATTGAGCTCAGGTCCATAAGGTCCACAGGTCTCTACACTATAGGAACTCACAAATCTGCAAAGCTCCCAGTCTGAGACTGAGAGATGGGAATAAGAAAGGGATTAGAGGGAAGAGAAGGTCTAACCCCAAGTTTATATCCTGACTACCAGATTCCTATCATTTTTTTAAATCCTCACCTGAGGATATGTTTACTGATTTAGAGAGAGGAGAGGAACTTCGATGTGAAAGAAAAACATCAACTGGCTGCCTATCATACACGCCCTGACCGGGGCTGGAACCCACAACCTTTTGGTGTAAGGAATGATGCTCCAACCAAATGAGCTAGCCAGCTGGGTCTATCATTATTTTTAAAGCCTGGACAACAACAGTTTTAATTTAATCAGCCCATATAGGTTAAGAACTAAATGAGAAGTTCTAGCAAGGACTGGGGGCCATAATGTTTTCATCGAGGACCACTGCAGGACTTACACCCACAGAGGATTACATCAGCTTTCCAGACTGATCAACTGATTACTAGACTATGGGTAGATAACTACCCATAAATCTGCCTTGTTCCAAATTAAATCTTTAACTTGCCACCACTCTAGCAGGCTCAGATGTAATACTAGGCAGGAAAATTGAGACACAGTATGGAAAAAAAAAAGGATTCCACAACCATGAGGAATTAGGAAAGCACTGCACCAGACTACAAGGTTCTGCAGAGAACAATGTCACCATGACAACCTTGGATATTTTTTCAGAGAGTTGGTAGATTATACAGAAACATTTTCCTAAATTTGGAGGTTGAGAGTGAAGTATAGGAACATGCGTAGGAGTTAAAAGACATTTCAAATTCAGTAATGGCAATTTTTTTTAAAAGACATTTCAAATCTAAATTTTAATCTTTATTTTTTTAGTTTTTCCTTTCAGTCCACATGTTGCCATATCCTGTTCTTTAAGGGCAAAAGGGCAAAAATAATTTTTACCCCATGTTTATATGTAAGTGTTGGGTACTTGTAAAATATGATTATGTAACTTCATTAATTGGGAGGTTTTCATTAACAATGGTACAAGTTCCTTGAAGAATAGAAGAAATTTTTATCATTCAACAGTTCAAAATAGGCTTTTATACATTAGCATACCCACTCAAGGCTAAAAAACCTGAAATACTTTATATATTGAATCTATACTATATTACTTTTAATTATATAACATTTTCTCTTCTGTTTTTAATTTCCTCTGACAGTTTCCCAAAAGATTTTCATAAAGTTGTTATATATACATATTATCTAATTATGATAGTTTATTTAACCAATTTTATGTATTTGTTTGTTTTGCATACAAAGTTGATGTAAAATAAAACATTTCTGTCTCTCTGTTTCTTATTACAGATTCTTCACAGCTATCATTTTACTTAATCTTCACAATATTTCATAAGTATTGTTATCTCCATTTATGGCCATGTGCAGGGTGGTGAAAAATTTAGTTGCCCAAAGCGCAAGCTCCCTGCTGAGGTCTAAGGAAGCAAAGCTCTGCCTTCTTGTTTCAGCTGTCACTCTATAAACAAGTATTCTCTCCACAGACTATTTAGCACCACGTTTTTCACACTTTTGTGCTTTTTGTTGGTGACTTTTCTGTTTAAAATGGCCCCAAGGGTAGCGCTGAAGGGCTACCTAATGTTCCTAAGTGCAAGAAGTCTGTGATGTTCCCTTCCGGAGAAACTGCATGTGTTAGATAAACTTCATTCAAGCATGAGTTACAGTGCTATTCGCCATAAATTCAATGTTAATGAATAGAAAATATATATTAAAGCATCTTTAAACCAAAACACATATAAAACAAGGTTATGTATTGATTAGGTGACTAAAATGTTGTGACTAGTGGTTCACGTGTACCTAGTCTCGTATTCCCCTAGGACAAATGGTTCCATATTAGCTAATATTGGTAGTAAACGTAACTATTACAAATAACAAGAACAAGCTGTATTTATAGGGAAGGAAAAAGTTTTCTTCAAACGCATCTGATATCCTTATTAACCCAAGAGGGTTTAAAAAAAGCCTTTGCAAGAAATTACTCCACCGCTCTCCCGAAGAGCCTGTAATAGAAAAGCGGTGGTCCTGCGTCCCAGCATCCTTTGCCCCTCTGCTTTCTCCACTTTATTCTTCTGCAGTTCTGTCTGTCTCCTGAAGGGGGTCTCCATCTAAATAATGCTTTCTAGGAATCTAGTCATATACCAAATTTGATACAGATGGACACACTCGACACACAGGTACATTTAAAAGTGAACTCTGTGGATGCATTCCTGCAGAATTAATTGCAAAGATTCGTGATACCTCAGTTCCATGGGAAACCAGAAAAGGGTATTTCCCTACCTTGGGCATCCACCTTCCGAATCTCCTAAGGACATAAAAATACTAGAAAATAATATATTTTTCTTATTACTCTCATACAGTACCCTGTACTCTTTTCCATAGGCCTTAAAACTGATCAGCAGTTTATTTCTTTCTGTTTCTTTAAGGCCCAGGGTGGGTGTTTTGCCCTCTTCCGAAATGGCTGCCCAAGCATCACACGCTCTGTGCCTACTTCTTGAAATTCAGGGACTTTCGCTGCGCAATATGGGGACTTGGATGCGAGCGAGACTGAACCTCCCAGCGTGCTTTGCAGCGTGAGGCATGACGTCTGGTGATGGGGAAGCCCTGGAGCTTTCGGCCGCCAAATCTTTCGTAGAGGTTGAGGTTGAGCCCAGGGACTGAACTGGACGCCCGCAAAGGGGGAAGATGGAAGCGTGGCGCTGTGTGAGGAGGGGCTACGGCCGCTGTGTAGTGGGAAGAGGCCGGTCAGTAGGTCTGGGTGGCGGGCGGGAGGAGGAGAGAGGGAGGGGCGGCCGGAGGCGGGGGCGGGTGGCCTGGGTGAACCGGGGCGGGGCGGGCTGGGGAAGGAAGCGGGAGGAAGAGGGTCGGGACTGTGGTGCAGCTGGGACGAGCCACCGGAGACTCCCCAAGGGATAGGTAAACCCGGCACGCAGCCGGCAGGGCGCCGGGCCAACGGGGACCCGGGCCCAGGCGCGGAGCGCATCGGCCGCCGGCGGTGCTGTTGCCCTCCCGACCGGCTCGGCCTCGCAGCTCAGGCCCACTTCCCGCAACCCAGCCTCCAAGGCAGCCCGAGCGTCTCCGTTCCCGGCTTCTTCCCCGGGCCCTGCAGCACCTTCCGGGAGCTGACGGTCCGCAGGGAGGCCTCCTGTCACAATAAGTCCCAGGGTCGCCTGACCCCGAAGGAGGCGCGCGCGCGCCGCACACGCGCACGGGGGTTGGTTTGTCGGTGTGTTCTTGTCTCTCAAACTTTAGTCATTTGTATTCCAACCTTTACGATTATTACCAAATTCCGTTCACTCCTGTATTATTTACTGGGTATTTTTCTTGAAATTGGCTCACTTTAGTTGGTCCGAAGGTTGTGGGTTATTGTTAAGCTGAAATTGACTCACTTTAAAAAGCACTTAAATGAGTGCTGCCTACACTAGCGTAGCCCTAAGCAGTTATCTGCGAAATCTTGGCTTTAATGTACTTACTGTTTTTTTATTCTTAATACACTTTAAAACAAATACTTAGATATTAAAAATCAAAAAGTTTCACTGTGCACCGTATAAAACCGACGGGTGTACCACACATGGGAAGCACAGCACTGTCTTAATTATTACATGGGGATGGGGTTTTAACTCCTATAGTCCTGGGATTTGATGCCAGTTCAGTTCAACGATGTTTTCTTGAGTACCGGCTGTGTGCCAGGCACTGTGCTAGGCAGTTGGGAAGAGACTGGGGTTAAAATGATTAAGAAAGTTCTGGCTTTGAAGGAGCTCATCATTTTAAGAGGAAAAGATATATACCTATATATACAAATATATAGATATGTATACATGTATCTATATAGACATCAGGGTGGAGCAAAAGTAGGTTTACAGTTGTTCATATGGAAAATAAATACAAGGAAAAACTCACATACTCAAAACTGTAAACCTACTTTTGCCTCACCTTGTAAGTAACTACAAATATAATGTTTTGTTGCACGTGTTATACCTCAAAATGGTAGCTTATTAGGATGCACAAATGTATTGAGCCCAAATCTCTACGGTTCTCAAGAGTTGTGACAAAGCAGGATAGTCTGACCATGTCCTGCCTTTAGAGATTAACAATTAAGTTGAATTTAGAGGATAATTTGAAAACACACAGACTACAAAAAATACAGTAAAAATTTAAGTGTTAAAATGAAAAGAACGTGACACACAAGTCAAATAACAGAAAATACACTTTAACCTAAATTCCTTTGGTAATAGAAGTGGACGTTATGGATACTACCTTGAAAATGTACCATTAAGGAATTCTAGAGGAAAGAATAGAAGTCCTCAATCCTAATATTTTGCCAGAATTGTATAGTACGAAGGTGGTACCCAAGAGAGCCTGGCAGCAAAGTATCTATTCAACATAATGATAACACTACGTTGGAGATATTTTTGGATGATAGGTTAAATTGGTGCTGTTGGCTTTTGGAGTGTTGATGAATTCCTAGTAAGTAATTTCTACCTTTTTTCGTTTCTCTCAAGGAAAAGCATGCTTTCAAAAAAAAAAAAAATTGAGGTTGTGATGGGCTTTTGTGTTCTCAGCTATACAAATGTTTGGAAAATACAACCCTGGTATAAAAAACTTCAGAAATGTGTTTTTACTCCAAACCAAGTTGGAATAGAGATTCACTTTAATTGTAGTCAGCTTATGTGTTCCATATTTGATTTAAGTATTATGTTTGTTGTGGATTTTATTTGTCCATTGAGTTGTATTAGATGCTAGAAAGCTAATCTGAATACCAGTTGATGGTTGATTTCTCTCTCAGTTGAACTGTGGACTTTTTGAAGTCTGTGCGGTGTTTTGGGAACCTGGCGGATCCTACATGGAGTGTTTAGAATACCACTCACAGTTGTGTAGGGAGACTCGTGGGGTACTGCTCTCATGGTTAAATCATGGCTGCTTCTCCCACATCCTTCACAGATTTAGAAATCAGCTTTTGAGTGTTAGACCTTGTTCTCCCTTGAGGAAACAGACTTGGATTTTGTGTGCAATAGCTGAACCTAAAGTGGTGCCTCAAGGAGTGTATTTATGTCTTTTAGATACCCCATGTTACCCCACCACCAGAAGAGTCTGGGCAGAGACTGGACTACACCGTGGGAGAATCTGCAAAGGTGTTGCTGGAACAGACATATTTCTAGTTGTATGAGGTGGCCTGGACACTATTCTCGTGCTCCTTACCCCTACTTCAGTAGTAGGCAATTTTCATTAAACTGGAGACCGCCTTGTTTGTTTGAGTCTAGAACTCAGTTTCAGTACTGGAATTGGAGACCCGACAGCCTGAGCCAGACATCTTTGATCCATCTCTCTAGTTACATCATGAACTCTGAGGGAGATGAGCCTTCATCAAAACGAAGAAAACACCAAGGTAAAGGTGACATTTATCTTGGTGCACAAATAAACATAAGCCATAGACTAATTGAAACGTTCATATCTAATCCTCAAGAAAACTTCCTGCTGGTTTTAGACGTGTTTGGTGTTTATTTTCAGCCAGTAGTTTTTCTGTTAGGAAAAAGGGAATTATTTTTTAAATGAACTCTTTATTTTTATCTTTAATTAATTGTGTATTTCTGGCAGTAAAGATAGAAGTGACTCTACCTACAGAATAAGGTAAAAAAGAATGAAGGATTAGATTAAAACCTTAAGTTTCATTTAAGAATAGTTTTCAAATTTACTGTTTTTGAAGCAGAGATTCTCAGGCTTCTTAAAAACTGGTGGATGTATTATTGAAAGTCCACAGGTCTATAAAATTAAATGTCATGTTTTCATATTTATTTTAAGCTAATGTTTTACAATGATAACTTTAAAGAATAAGACAAAAGGATTTTCTTAAATAGGAACTCTCATAAATAAAAGATACTTCCTTACAGAATAGGATTTTAGCTTATTAAATCTGTATATCTCATACTGGGGTCTACAGATACAATCTTGAGAGTCTGTTGGAAATTTTATCTTTTAAAACATCTTATGCAACTTTAAGAAACAGTTTTTTCTAAATATGTTGATTATTTCTATTTTTCTCATATTCTTTCTACTCTAAACAATTGCCCAGACTCCCTCTGTGCTGCCGGTCCTGCCCCCCGCCCCCCAAGTGTACACGCAGAATTTGGAACTGTCTTCCTTGCTGAGCTGTGGTTTTCAGTGAAGATAATGCCTCTGCAGATAACTGAGAGGAGACTCTGTGGATGTTAATGTGTAGGGAGCAGACACAAGTTTGTCAAAGGATGACATTCACAGTGAGTGTCACCTGGAAGTCAGAGCTCGATTATTAGTTAAATGTGCTTTTAGGAGGAAATTCCACTGCACCTTTAAGTAGAAATTCTAAGCACTCACAAGTGAAAATTTATTTTTATAGTACCTAACCACAGCTTGTGTTTATAATGTATTTGTTTGAATGAATGAAAGGTTTATGTAGAGGCGTTAAAATGAGGTTCCTAAGAACACTCCATGTCTGTAAATCGAGGCCTGTATGGGATGAGCCGGCTTCTCACCTGGGTATTCACTGTCCATCAGGTCCGCACACTTCTCTCTAGTTTGGCCTTTTCTAAATCTGGTAGCCGTCAGGTCGGGCTGTGCCGTGTGACACAAGCATGGGCTTAGGGACCACTCCCTGCTGTCGTTCTGCTCCACCACAAATTGTGTGAGCTGGGACAGGTTCCTGAACCTCTCTGCTCCGTGGTTTCCTAGTGTAAAATAATGCTCACGTTCAAAGCCTGTTGACAATAAAATGAGATGTCAAGTGCCCAGCACACTGTTGGCTTCATAGTAGGTACTCAGAAAATTGTGGTGGTGGTGTTTTCCCTTTAATGGATGGGAAGTTACATTTACACACTGATAAACTTGGATTGCAACCTGACTCTTTATATGTCCATTCTTCCTAGGTATTGTGAATAAGGAAAATGCTCTTCGTTAAGCCATATTTGTGACTTCCGATATTTCACTAATACTTTTCAATCAAGAGAACAGCATTGCTAACTTGCCTATCACTTTAAAGTGGTATTTGAAGGATTTGTGTGACACAATTATGACTTTTTAATTAGGCACCCTAAAAACCCAGTCAGTCCTGTTGCTTACTTTCTTTGATTCATCTGTCTTCTCTGCTGTGATCACCTTGTTCCTCCTGACATGGAAGGTATATAAGCTTTTGTAGTATGAATTTATGTTGTGAAGTATATGAAGGCCAAAGACTATTTACTTCATCAGTAGTTTTCAGACTGTCTCCCATGGAACTCTAGCATTTGAAGTTTCTGTATGTTTATTCAAAGCAATTGTGGTCAGTATAAATGTTAGTTACCTCATCTTTCTAGCTACAGTCCCCACATACCAAGGATTGATGTTCATAACATGAAAAGTAATGCTGAAGGGTTGTACAAGCTCTAGAAGTTTGAAAGCCACTGTATTGATGGAATTTTAGGCATTGTAATCCAGTGAAATGAAAGCCTTCATGCAGGAAAAGGGAGGGATCCTAGGGCTGAGATTTTTTTTTTTTTTCCCACATTGTCTAATCATGCTTGGAAGTCCATCTCTAATTCTGTTTCTCCAGGTTCTTCCCATTTCTTGTTTTCTGCATTTGAGTTCATAGATTCTCTAAAAATTCTACATTTTTCTTCATGGCTTCCATGGCAGTTGGAATATGCCCTTTAACGGTGGGGTGAGGGAGACAAGATCAAAGGAGAAAACTATATATGGTGGTCATTTCTAAATCGGGGACTGCCTATAATTGCAAAATCTCATGGTTTTCGATTCTCATCACTTTTCCAGGGTACATGATGTCTTTGCAGAATGTAAACCATCACATATTCCTGGTTGCTGCATGCTAGGTTTGTCAACTAGCCATTATCATTGACCAGCACTCTGTAACTATGTTACATGTAACTTTTGCTTTGGTATGCATTAAAAAGATTTCTTTGTTCATTTTGTTTGCACTGTTCCATTTCAGTGTTTTAGACACTAAATACAGTTTCTGTATATTGTCATTATATACATCATTCTTGTCTAAAGCAGAATTCTAAGATGAGTTGTTTTTGGAACTTAGTTAATCACTGGATGATCTTATCTTACTAATAGGGAATAAAATATGTGAACTTATCTTATTGGAAAGCCAGCTGAGACATACAGATACAATATTATGGTTACAAAGTTGCTAAGCATGTCTATGGCAGAGCTAATTCTTAACTATAAAGAAGGGAGAAACCACGACCCCTGTATAGTCTTAGTTTTATAAACACATGCTCTTAGTCTCCAGAATAACTTGTTAGATTCTTTTAAACCTGTTGTGTCCCTCTTGGTCAGTCAGTATAGAATTTTACAGCCTTTTAATTAATTTGATCACAACTTCTGGTTATTCAGTGCTTCATTGCCATTTCCTAGGGTAAAACATTGTGTTCATTGCCTATGGAAATTTTTAAAAGGCAAAGGAATACTTATATACAGGAAAACACATGGTCTTTTTTAAAATTAATTCTTTATATTCTGTCCAATATATTTTAACAGGCACCATAAAACGCCATTGGGAATACATATGTAACCATCATAAAGAAAAAACGAAGATCCTGGGAGACAATATTGACCCCAAATGTGAAGACAGTGAGAACAAGTTTGATTTCTCAGTGATGTCCTATAATATACTTTCACAAAATTTACTGGAAGATAATTCACACCTCTATAGACACTGCCGGCGCCCAGTATTACACTGGAGTTTTAGATTTCCCAATATTCTGAAAGAAATTAAACACTTTGATGCAGATGTAAGTGCAAAATATCAAAATCCTTCGCACAAGAAAAAGTTGGGTTAAATGGGTCACTTGTAAACTAAATTATTTTCTCACTTTTGTTTGGTAAAAAGGGAAGATGTTTAAATATAGTGATGGAACAGTTTTTAGCAAGGTAACATGACCTCCAAAGAGTTATTTGCCAATGGTTGTTGGTATAAATAATTGTCTGGCTTTTTTAAAACGATCAAAGAATCTTAAGTATTGGTTAGCTCTGAGATAGGGACTGGCAACATATTAAGTGTTCGGTACATATTTCCTTGGATTTTATTTTCTTTTTTTACAGATGTCCTTTGATTTTAAATTTAAATAATTCATGAAGAATTAATGTAGATAATGTCATTCAAAGAAATCACCTCTTAAGAAAGTACAAGGAGGATTTCTACTAATAAATGTGTAAATTCAGGGGGAATATTCAGACATGTAAATTAAAAATATTTCCTTGGAAGAAAGCTTCATATGATTAAAGGCCACAATTTGGGGGACTGATCAAATTTAGAAACATTAATTTGATAGATCTGTAAATTACAAGAGAAAAGGATTTTTTTATTTCAACTTCTAACATGTTTTTAAAGTTTTAGAAATCTGTAGAGATGGAAGCACCAGAAAATTTATATTTACATCTCTTTGTTTTAATTCAGGCCTTTTTTTTCTTCCAAGGTACTTTGTTTGCAAGAAGTTCAAGAAGATCATTATGGAACAGAAATCAGGCCAAGTTTGGAATCGCTGGGTACAATGTAACTTTTATTTTAGCCATATTTACTTTGGAAGATTGGTATGTTGTTAAAGCATAACTTGCTAACAAAGAAGTGTGATGTATTTGGGCCAAAAATCTTAACTTTGAAAAACTTAATACCTATTTCAAAAGGTCAGGAAAAGATTGAGAAATTTCAGGTGGAAACTTTTGTGTTGTTACATAATTTTAACTTAAAGGGAAAGTTGTGTAAGAATCTCTTAATAGCTTCCTTTCCAGGAGTTGCTTTGCCCATCACTAGACCCCCTAAGATTCCGAGCTCCATGAGATTAGGTACCATTCTGTCTAGGTCATCATTATATCATAAGTATTTACCACTGCGTAATGGATGGAAACTAAAAAACTCTTTGATGAGTGAACACTTCTAAAAACAGGTTATCTGCTTGAGAAATGCTCCCTACTTTGCATTCATTCATTCAGGAAATATTTTTTGAGTGCCTGCTATACACTACTCAGTGTTCTAGGCAGTGGGGATATAGCGGTGAACAAGACAGATAACAAGTCTATGCCCTTGAGGAGTATACAGTAGACAGTAAACCAAATAAATATGTAAGTAGTTCATTAAGTAATGATAGTTTTCTGGGGAAAGGCAGAAATATGGAATAAGGTTTCGGTTGTAAATAAATAACCAGAGAAGATGAGATTTGAGCAAAAACTTGAAAGAGGTTAATGAACAGGCCATGCCTAGAGCATTCTAGACTGCGGAAATCGCAAAGGCAAGGCCTCAAGGTTGGAGTGCCGTAAGGCAGATGAGCAGGCTGGTGTGTGTGGGGTGGAGCAAGGCGGAAGAGTTAGAGGCAGGAAGGTCAGAGGTACGTGGTGGGTGGGTTATTACAAGGCCCTAGTGTCTTTGTCATGACTCTTACTAGGATGGAAATGAGAGCATTATAATGCACATGAGCATATTTAAGACTGAAGTCTGCCAGGAAAGAGACCTATTAGACCCAGTTCCAAAGCTTTTTTTTTTTTTTTTTTTTTTTTAAGATTTTATTTATTTATTTATTTTTAGAGAGAGGAGGAAGGGAAGGAGAGGGAGAGAAACATCAGTGTGTGGTTGCCTCTTATGCATCCCCTCCTGGGGACCTGGCCTGCAACCCAGGCATGCGCCCTGACTGGGAATTGAACTGGCAACCCTTTGGTTTGCAGTCTGGCGCTCAGTCCACTGAGCACACCAGCCAGGGCTAGTCCCAGACTTTTTTGATTCCAACACTTACTTACATCCTACATTACTAATGTTTTGTAGAATACACTTTGGTAAACATTGTTCAAAAATATTAGCTGTGTTTTGCCACACGCGTGCGTGTGTGTGTGTGTGTGTGTGTGTGTGTATAAAACAGTCCCTTATTTTAAATTTCTTTATTTCTTATAGGTTATCACTGTGAATACAAGATTCGGACAGGAAAGAAACCAGATGGCTGTGCCATTTGCTTCAAACATTCCAAATTTTCACTCTTATCAGTGAACCCAGTGGAATTCTACCGCCCTGATGTTCCTCTGTTGGACAGAGACAATGTTGGATTAGTGTTACTCTTGCAGCCCAAAATTCCAAGTGGTGCCTCTCCTGCCATCTGTGTAGCTAACACACATCTGTTATATAATCCAAGGCGAGGCGATATTAAGCTGACCCAGTTGGCAATGCTCCTGGCAGAGATCTCCAGTGTTGCCCATCAGAAAGATGGCAGCTTCTGCCCTATTGTTATGTGTGGGGACTTTAATTCTGTTCCTGGTTCTCCGCTCTATAGTTTTATAAAGGAAGGAAAATTGAATTATGAAGGCCTTGCCATAGGGAAGGTAAGTGCTCACTTCATCATTATTAGGAGGTGGACTTAGTCTTCTGCTCATTGTAATTTGAGGATAAGCCATCACAGGGCTGTTTGAAAACCTTGGATGATCCCTCACTTTACCAAGTACCCTCACTTTACCAAGCTGTGGTGATTTTCCACAACTACTAATAAGTAATTGTATCTACTTGGTTGAATTGCATCTTTTCCATCTGTTTGTGGCAGCATTCTGCTTGGAGAAATTGTCAGGCAGCAAAAAATCCAAAATGGAAGAGAAGAAAAGCATTGCCAGGCATGAATACTTCATAAATAAGGAACTACTCACAAGGTGGCAGAATAGAATTTTAAATGCTAGATATGAGCAATACAGTTAGCAAACAGTAATTTAATATTTCTTTATAATTTTTATTTACATAATAAATGTTCTAATTCCTTAGCTGAGTATAATTTATCCTGTTTTTAATTTCATTGTGCTCGCTTCTATTTAACCAAAATAAGTTTTTCACCACTGACTTTTGAATGATAGTTTACAGTTTTATGAGTTCATCTCTCTTAGTATTTTACGTAATAGGGACTATATTTCAGATAACAAAAAGGAGGGGCATCATTAGTCCAAAGACATCCTTGAGATGTCCAAATTGGAGAAAAACACATATAGGAAAAGATGGCCATGTTCATATAAAAAGCGCTTTCTGAACTGTATTTGAACAAGATTTTATAAGCACAAATAGTCACAATATAAAGAATAAAAAGTAATATTTACTGTCCTTGGATTCCCTTTCATTTAACACATAAACTTTTCAATACATAACTATTTAAAATCTACTCACTTAAGATACCTGTTGAAATTTTGTTTAGGTATCTGGCCAGGAACAGTCTTCACGGGGACAAAGAATTTTATCTATTCCAATTTGGCCCCCAAACCTAGGTATCTCACAGAACTGTGTGTATGAGGTACAGCAGGTACCAAAAGTAGAAAAGACAGGTAAGTGTTTGCAGCATATTGTGGCAGTCTTCTTTAATACTTTCCCTTTGAATGTACAACTAAATTTTTAAAAGGATAACATTTCAGGAATAAATACATATATTTATATAAATAGTTGTTTGCTTATTCCTTTTTTATTTCTTTTTAAAGATTTTTATTTATTTTTAGAGGGAAGGGAGGGGAAAAAGAAAGGGAGAGAATCAGTGTGAAAGAAAAAGATCAGTTGCCTCTCATAGGCACCCTGATCCGGGACCAAACCTGCAACCCAAGCATGTGCCCTGGCTGGGAATGACCTGGAGACCTTTTGCTTTGCGGGACGACACCCCACCAGCTGAGCCACACCAGTCAGGACTTACTCCTCTTCTAAAGAGTGACCTTTTAAAAGTAGAACTTTCTGAATTATTTTTGCATGAATTACTTGCATGTTGCTTTGGAAATGATTGCATTTTATTTGCTAATTCTGGAGATCATCAAAACATACAGGTTCTAGGATGAAACATTTAACTAGGCATCTGTAAACTAGGTATATCTTAAATATTCCTAGAGTAAAAGGACTGTACTAAGGCAAACTAGAACAAAATAGTGTATTGATAATAATACGTATTTTTCTTTGTTCTTACAGACAGCGATCTGACACAAACACAGCTGGAAAAAACAGAAGTCCTAGTGACAGCTGAAAAGTGAGTTCTGGAGAGCAACAGGTGACATTAGCTGACTTTAATCGAGTAAAAACAGTCATTTCTCAACACTGATTCTTTAAAAAGTGATTGCCATGGGGAGAGGTGAAGGAGGGTATGGGGGGTGAATGGCGATGGACGGAGACTTGACTTAGGGCGGTGAACACACAGTGCGCTGTGCAGAGGATGTGTTGTAGAACTGTGCACCTGAAACTTGTGTAACTTTGTTAACCAGTGTCACCCCAATAACGTCAATAAAAGAGGGGTGGGAAATGAAGATGATATTTATTCTGTGCTGGTGGAGAACGTTAGCTCTTATGTCAAACGGACCCAAGTACCAATTATGACTTGGCTCCTTTCTAGCTGTTTGATTTTGAGCAAGAATCTTAGCATCTCTGAGGCTTAGTTTCCTCAGATACAATTTGGGTGGTTGTGAGAGGATTAGATGAGACAAAGCACGCAAAGCTCAGACACATAGGTACTTCAGCAGTCTCCTTTGCCGCAAACAGCTTGTCCGTGGATCTGGACCAGCTGGTACTCTTTAAAATGTATTGTTATTACGAAGGTCAAGATTGCGGAGAAATATCTTTGAAATTTCAAAAGGATCCTTAGCCTCCTTTGACTTACTAGGTCTCAAAACAATCTATAGGAGAATTGATCCAAATAGGATTATGTCAGTGGGAAAGACAATTAACTTATGCTTCTCTCTTAAACTACAGGAAGAGGTCAGCAGAGGTAGAGGGGTAAAGGTGCCTGGATTCCGAATTATTAAAGAAGCATGAATGTTTGGGGCTATGGTTGAGAAACATGTATTTTAATATAATAGATGGGCACTTAAATTGTATCTTTTGGGGAGTTTCTCAATGGCTTCATCGTTTTATATTGTGGCTCATTAATAGTTGAGATTTTGTTTTTAACATTTAAATTTAGGGACCAAATTATAATCACTTCTCATTTTTTCTTCTCAGTCTTATTTTGTATACCTTGTTTTGAAAAAAATCTCTCATGTATGAGAATCTAATAAGAAAGGAAGAAATTTTTTTAAATATATTTTATTTATTTATTTTTAGAGAGAGGTGAAGGGAGGGAAAAAGAGAGGGAGAGAAACCTCGATCAAATGCCTCTCGCACACGCCCCAACCAGGGACTGGTCCTGCAACCCAGGCATGAGCCCTGACTGGGAATCAGACTGGTAACATTTTGCTTTGCTGGACGATGCTGAACCAACTGAGCCACGCTGGTCAGGGCAGGAAATTTTTTTTAATTTTTAAAAAAGAATATTTAAAAATTTATTATTAAGCTACTCAAATATAGTCAAAACTTTCCTGAGTAAAGTTAGTAAAAGGCTAATTTTACTAATAAATATTTAGTTTTAAATAATTCTAAAATCTTCATACAAAGTGGGTTATAAGAAAAGATACTTTTAAATATCTTTATATAAATACAGTGTTTATACACAGCTTACACGAGTAAACTCAAGAGTTGATAGTACGGTAACGGTTTGCAGAAAAATACAGTGCCTCTGACAACAGTCTGGTGGATTCTAAATGGCATTTATAAAGGGCACTCTGATTTTCTTTCTTAAAAACAATAAAAATATATATATAGGCAGGCATACCCTTGGAGATATTGCAGATTCAGTTCCAGACCACTGCAGGAAAGCGAGTATCTAAATAAAGCAAGTCACATGAATTTTTTTTCCAGTGCATATAGAAATCAGTTTATTTAAATGTCCAATAGCATATCTAAAAAATGCACATACCTTAATTTAAAAATACTTTATCATTAAGAAATGCTAACTATCATCTCAGCCTTCAGCGAGTCATAATCTTTTCACTGATAGAAGGTCTTGCCTCCATATTGATGGCTGCTGACCGACTGGGACAGTGGTTGCTGTAGCAATTTTTAAAATAAGACAATAATGAGGTTTGCCACAGCAATTGACTCTTTCCTTCACTATCGATTTCTCGGGAGCATGTGATGCTGTTTGATAGCATTTTACCCACAGTGGAACCTTCTTTCAGTACTGGAGTCAATCATCCCAAACCCTGCTGCTCCTTTATCAGCTCAATTTAGGTAATAGTCTAACATTTCTGTTGTCATTTCAACAACTTTCACAGCATCTTCATCAGGAGTAGGTTCCATCTCAAGGAACCATGTTCTTTGCCCTCCATAGGAAGCAACTCATCTGTTCCAGATTCTTTTGTTTTTGTTTTTGTTTTTCAATTTTATTTAATGATTTGAGAGAGAGAGGAAGGGAAGACTGAGAGAGAAACAGCAATTGTTGTTCCACTTATTTATGCATTTATTGGTTGATTCTTTATGTGCCCTGACCTGAGATTGAACCCACAAACCTGGTGTGCTGGAATGACGCTCTAACCAACTGAGCTACCTGGCCAGGGCTGTTCAAGTTTTATCATGAGACTGCTGCAACTCAGTCATATCTTTAGGCTCCACTTCTAATTCTAGTTCTCTTTATATTTCCACCACATCTGCAGTTACTTCCTCCACTGAAGCCTTGAACAACTCAAAGCCATCCATGAAGGTTGAAATCAGCTTCTTCCAAAGTCCTGCTAATGCTGATATTTTGACCTTTCTCATGAATCACAAATATTCTTCATGGCATGTAGAATGGGGAATCCTTTCCAGAGGTTTTCAGTTTACTTTGCCCAGACCTGTCAGAGGAATGAATCGGTATCTATAACTGTCATAGCCTTCTGAAATATATTTCTTACTAAGACTTGAAAATCAAAATTACTCCTTGATCCATGGGCTGCAGAATGGATGCTGAGTTAGCAGCCATGAAAACAATATTCATCTCATTGTACATCTCCATCAGAGCTATTGGGTGATCTGGTGCATTGTCAATGAGCAATAATATTACAGAAGGAATCTTTCTTGCTGAGCAATGGGTCTCAACAGGGGACTTAAAATATTCAACAAATCATGGTGTAACAGACTTTGTTATCTCATTTATAGAGCACAGGCAAGAGTAGATTTAGCATAATCCTAAGGGCCCTAGGATTTTCAGAATGGTAAATGAGCACTGGCTTCCACTTAAAGTCACCAGCTGCATCAGCCCCTAAAAAGAGAGTCAGCCTGTCCTTTGAAGCTCTGAAGCCAGCCATTGATGTCTCTCTAGCTATGAAATCCCTAGATGGCATCTTCTTCCAATAGACAACTGTTATGTCTACATGGTAAATCTGCTGTTTGGCGTAACCATCTTCAGTAATTACCTCGGCTGGGTCTTTTGGATGACTTACTGCGGCCTCTGCATCAACACTTGCTTCTTCACCATGCATTTTATGTTATGAAGACAGCATCTTCCCTTAAACCTATGAAGCTACCTCTGTTAGCTTCAAACTTCTCTTCTGCAGCTCCCTCACCTCTCGCTCTCTTCATAGAATTCTAGAGAATTAGGGCCTTGCTCTGCATTAGGTTTTGACTGAAGGGAATGTTGTGGCTGGTGTGATCTATCTAAAACTTTCTCCATGTCAGAAATAAGGCTGTTCTGTTTTCTTATCATTTATAGGGTCACTGGAGTAGCACTTTCAATTTCCTTCAAGAACATTCCTTCTGAATTCACAGTTTGGCTGTTTGACACAAGAGGCCTAGCTTTCGGCCTTTCTTGGCTTACAACACGCCTTCCTCTGAGAGACATGTAGCTTTTCCTTTCACTTGAACACTTAGAGGCCATTGTGGGGTTACTAACTGGTCTAATTTCAGTGTCGTTGTGTCTCAGGGAAAAGGGAGGCCAGGGGGTGAGGGAGAGAGATGTGGAATGGTCGGTCAGTGGAGCAGTCAGGACACGCATGTTTATCAGTTGTTTGCTGTCTCATGTGGGTGTGGTATATGGCACCCCAGAGCACCATAACAAACATAGTAATAATGGAAGTTTGAAATATTAGCAGAATTACCAAAATGTGACACAGAGACACAAAGGGAGCAAATGCTGTTGGAAAACGGCGCTGATAGAGTTGCAGTGTTGCCCCAAACCTTTAAATTGTGAACAATGGAACATCTGCAAAGCATAATAGTGAGGCCCAGTAAAACAAGGTGTGCCTGTAAATTGTTTTGGGATACGTGTTTATTAGTAAGTGGAGGCTCTCAAATATAATTAGTAACAAATCACATGAGTGTATTAATTATCGAGCTTCCCCCTCCCCATTTCACAACCTTGTTAATGGGTTTTGGTTATCACTGCATCAATACATGCCACATTGTGATATTGTCTGTTTACATGAAGTTTGTCCTAATGTTTGGCTTTGTCTGGAAATTAAATGAAAAAGTGTTTTCATAGGAGGAATTATAAAGTCATGAAAAACCTGATGGATGCTAAACACTTTTCATTTTAGGTTATCTTCATATTTACAGCACCATTTCAGCTTGTCATCTGTTTACTCACATTATTTTCCTGACACTGGAATTCCAGAAGTGACCACGTGTCATTCCCGAAGTGCCATAACCGTGGATTATATTTTCTACTCCGTGGAAAAGGAAGATATTGCTGGGCAGCCAGGTAAAGAAAGCATGCAGTCTTAAATTCTGCTTGAGAACACAGTAAGGAACCCCTCAAGGCTGAAACTGACAAAGTTAGGTAAACATCTAGATGAAGTTCTAGATTTCGAAGGTAAATATAGCCCTGGCCAATGTGGCTTAGTGGACTGCGTGCTGGTCTGTGAACTGAAAGGTCACTAGTTCGATTCCCAGTCTGGGCACATACCTGGGTTGTGTGAGAGGCATGGATGTCCACGTTTCTCTTCTTCTTTTTCTCCTTCCCTTCCCCTTCTCTAATAAATAAAATCTTTTAAAAAAGAAGATGATGCCCTGGCTGGTGTGGCTCAGTGGCTTGAGCACTGGCCTGCAAACCAAAGGGTCACCAGTTTGATTCCCAATTGGGGCACCTGCCTGGTTGTGGGTCAGGTCCCCAGTATAGGGTGCATAAGAGAGAACCACACCTTGATGTTTCTTTCCTTCTCTTTCTCCCTCCTCTCCCCTCTCTCTAAAAATAAGTAAATAAAATCTTTTTAAAAAATTTAGAAAGTAGTTAAATATATATCTATCCTCACCTGAGGACATGCTCACTGATTTTAGAGAGGAGGCAAGGGAAGGAGAGAAACGTTGACATGAGAGGGAGAAACATCAATTGGTTGCCTCTTGTACATGCCTCGACCAGGAACTGAACCTGCAACCTGGACATGTGCCCTGACTGGGAATCGAACCTGCGACCCCTCAGTCTACTGGACGACACTCCAACCAACTGAGCCACATAGGCCAGGGCTAGAAGTTAAAAATATTTTGAAATTGGTAATATATTTGACAGATTGGTAATGTATTTGAATAAGTCAGTTAATCACCTGCAAAAAGTGGAGGCAGTGAAGTACCTCAAAGCAAATTACTACCTAAGAATTATATCCTCATCTCTACCCTCCAGTCGAGTCACTTTTGGTCTTCTAAGTCTTTCATAATCCCCTTTGTTTTACTTGCCATATATCTGCTGTTTTCTTGTGCCAACATTAGTATAGCACCTTTTTTTCATTTCAAGTTCTAAAAGTAATCTGGAAGAAAATGTCAATGTAATAATGTTTGGTAATTCTCATAATGTTATTTGAGATTGACAGCTTCCTAAGAAATTCATCCATCAATCACTCCGTAGTTGTTTAAAACCAGACAGACACAGCCACGGGTATACTTGTTTATACTTCCAACAACAGACAATTTGATTATGTTGACCTTGGAATGTTGGACTTTTCTGGAAAGAGAAGTTTGTAACTGTTTTCAAAAAGCAAAGGTGATAAAACACTTTTCCTTGATTCAATGGAAATAAGGGTGTATTAACCAAATGATTCAATGTGGAGAAAAAAATGCAGTTTCATATAAGTGGCGGTCAAAAAATACCATTTAGAAAACTTTGAAAGTCCAAAATGTGGGCAGCTGTTGTCTTTTCTGATTTTCCCTTTTCCTCTTTCATATGACTTCTCCCCAGTAGATCAACTCTACAAAATATGCCCTCTACTTTGAATTTGTAATATTAAGGTTCTGGTAGTTGTCATGCCTTAACTGTTCACTAGGTGGCAGAAGTATGTCATGAACCAGCATCTCAAAATTCAATTTTAGGAGCACATCCTCTTTTACTCCGCTTCTTGGGTACTGACTCTCTGGGACCAAATTATACATTTATTTCCCACTCACCTTATAAACTTTCTACCTAGATGTGGCTGTGTCTGTCTGGTTTTATACAATTATGGAGTGGTTGATGGATGAATTTCTTATGAAGTTGTCAGTCTCAAGTTACTCTTAACATTATGAGAATTATCAAACATTATTACATTGATGTTTTCTTCTGGATTATTTTCACAACTTGAAATAGAAAAAAAAAGTCTGAAAAAGAAAAAAAAACACATACCTGAAACTGCTGTGTATTTGAGCATTATAATTAGGTTACACTCAATAAATATTTAATCATATTCTGAAAACTGTTTCATATTTAGACTTCCAGAGGGGTTTCAGGTTCTGTATCATCATTGTTTAAGGGGGAAAAAAGACTTGTATGATTAATTTACAATAAACTGTTGACACAGTTTCACTAAGTATGTCTATGTTTTCAATGTAGGAGCTGAAGTTGCTTTGGTTGGTGGCTTGAAACTTCTAGCTAGACTGTCACTTCTTACAGAGCAAGACTTATGGACTGTTAATGGACTTCCAAATGAAAACAACTCTTCAGATCATCTGCCTTTATTGGCTAAATTCAGACTTGAGCTCTGACTCCTCTTTGATTATGTACTTTTCTTTCCAATTTATATTCTTTTTCAGAGACTGTAAAAGTGTTAAGAGTTTGCATGTTGTTTATTTTTGTGCTGTGGAGTTTCTGAAGAGGTTATGTTAAATGCTTGGAAGAAATATCAGAAGAAACAAGTTTACAACAGTTCGCTTTTATAATAATGAAAGAATATTTTCCTGACAAATGATATAAATGCTCTTAATTGTTAAAAAAAAAATTGTAAATATTTTTTACTCTAAATTCCAGTAAAGTAGACAGTGATTTTAAATATAGTGCATCTCCTTTAGTCCTCTTAGTAAAAAATCCCATTTCATGTTTTTGGTTAAGTTTTAGAGTGGATCCCAAGTATCTGTGAGTTCTTGCAAAACACAATTCACTTCCTTTCCAGAAGGCCTGATTTCATGGTGAGGACCACATGTTTGTTGAGTGAGTCCTAATTAGCTCATCTCAGAAATCATTGGCTCATTCACAAGTATCCACCCATTTTTGTTTTTGAGGGGACTTGACAATGCTTTTAAAAACTTGTACAGGTTGTTTAATCCATCTTGTTATTATCCTGAGACAGGCAATATATCTGCATTGTGTCAGGGACATATAGGTCCCATAACCAGTGGTATGAGGTACTTACACAAGCCTACTTTTCCATCCTCTAACAGGCCATTACAGGAGACAGGGATTGGGGTTATGCCTTCATTTCCCGAGCAATTTTTTTTCCCTCTATTCAGTTTCAAGAAAAGATCCCTGGTTTAGGGAGAGATTTTATTTTAGTGAACCAATGCTGTACGACTATATTTTATTAGGAAACTTGTCTTTGGAACAAAGTGGCAGCTATAAGATTATTTTTGTTTTGCCTCAGAAATTTGAGGAAATCAACAAGTCTAGTGGAACAATACAAACATGGAGACCTAATATTTTTTAGTTATTTTAACTGTTTTAGTGGTTTTGTTTCTAAAATGTGTTTTATCATGATGCTGCAGTGTAAAATAGTGCTGACTTTTTTTATAAAATGGTTAAGAGTGGGTCTAATTCTGCAGTTGGCTTTATGTTTGTTGGAATCAAAATTTTTAAAACAAAAAGTGAAAATCTTCTCTTTTTTAGATATGGGGGTCAAAGAATTATGTGCATTTTTACTAAATTTTATATTGAATTTACTGAATTGTAGAAGTTTTTACAGTGGGTTTTCTTACTAGAATGCTTCATTTTAAATTAGCAGTGGTTTCTTTATAGTCTTGGACATTAAAAGTTTTTGTATTAAAGTACTTAACAACCATTATTTTTAAGAAGAGATAGATGAATTCCCTAAAAAGGCATGTGGGTACTAAGGATTTGCCTAGTAAAACTTGTAGTAAGCAAATACAGGGTCCGGCAGAAGTAAGGCCTGCTTGAGTGTGGTTGGTAGGGCACGTGAGTGTCTCGCATGAGGTGGACAGCAATTTGAACATTTCACCTAAAATGTCACATGGTGTGCTTGAGTGTGATATTGTTGTTACAGAATTACATGCTTATGATTTTGTAATAAAAAGCGGGGGGGGCATTATTTGTGCCGGACCCTGTACTTTTTAAATGTTTAATTTCTCACTTTGGGAATATTTTACTTGTGGTATTAACTATAGTTCTAGGATTTTTCACATTTTCTAGTCACAGTTTTCAGAATATTATGATCTGTCCTATTAGCAGATATTGTCATCACCAAATAATAATAACAAATTAATTATCCCCTTTTAGTATTGAGGAAAGAAAAATGAAAATTCATTGATTCTTGCTTTCTGTTGTGTGAATTTATTAACAAGTTAACTTTTAAAAAGGTCGTTATTGACAAACTAACATTCCTGAAAACTATAGTGGAAATTTAAATTTTTATATCCTGATTAATATATTGTGGTTTTAGGACCTTTTCATGTGCTTCATTTTGATAGAGTTAATCCTTAAAGTTGCTTCCTACTTTAGTTGATAGAATGAAGTATTAGTTTGTGGCTTAGAGGCCAAAGGGTCAGTGTAACTTTTCACAAGTTTTTAAAGCTCCACGAAAATTAAGTATCCACTTACCTTTACTTTCTTTGGTCAGAAGAGTTGGTAACTCTGCTGGAGCCTAGTATTTATTTACCTGCCAAAAGCAATTAAATCTGGCTAATTGCTGAAACCAAGTCTCCCACAACCTCACGTGCTATACTATCCAAGTTTTCAATGGAAAGGGATATTGTGGAGTAATGAAATTTTGGTTTGAGTATTCCTTTTGATATAAAGATAATATGTGTGTTTGAAGTCTTGCCCCCCTTTTTTTTAAATTTAGCAACTGTCTGCTTTTAACCCTTTGCTTTAAAAAACTAAGTTAAAATCCAGAAAGTTTAAGGGATTGAGGAAACAGATGTCAAGTCATTTGCACGTTGAACCTATAAATTACCTAATAAATTAGAATAAATTATTAGAGTAGTATATCTGTGCCTGAAGGTTTTTTTGGTGGATGTATTAAGCTGTGTAAGCTGGCTTGTTGCCTCTTCTAAATTATTCCATTACCCTTTTCAGCCTTTATCACTTAGGCTGATGGTAAATATAAATTAATTAATATGTGCCAAAATAGAGTGATGTTTAATATGGAGTCTGAAAATTGTGGAAGAAGACAAGGCTGAGAGAATGATAAATTACCCTTACTAGGACAAGTATATAGTGAGTGGACAAGAGAAAAAAATCACACCATCTTACATTTTTAGAAGAAAAACAACCCTTAAGCTTCCAGGATGGTTTTATTAAAGTCCCATGCTATATAAACATACAAGTGATGAGAAAAACAGTAACTTGAAACATGCACTACCTGGCATTCTCTAAAATACCATTATACAAGTTTTCATTTACTTAGAAAAATACCCACTAAAACAATCACAGTTTTTTTTTTAAAGATTTAAAAAAAATGTATTGGCCAGAACAAAGTCCAAGAGAATAAACAAGATTCTGAATTGTATGTCAAAAAAACTGTACAAGATTGTACATAAAACTAGCTTACAAAAGCCTTGAGTATAGTAAGAATACTGAATTAAGATTTCCAAAGTTCTATTTACCAATATCTATTAATAAAATCCTTATGAAATAATTGACTTAGAAAAAGTGAAATGCTCATGATTTCAGAGTGTATAGAAAATAGTAAATATCACTTTCTCAAATAAAGTGTACTCACAACATGTAGTCTAAAATCAAGATTTCTGTCATTCATTTAAACTTTGCATATATTGCCATAATGACTTGAGCGTAAAATTTCTCTTGCATTAATAACATTTTCAAAACTGGATTTCAAATCATTTTAGCTTCCTTATTGATCTTTTGAATTGTAGCCAGTTTCAAAATCAATTTTGGGGGGTAAATCATATCATAGTTATTTTTGTTTGTTTTGCATTAATATTAAAATTAAGTTACTGCATTAGAGAAGTTTGGTTCATTTCTCACATCTTTTAGAAATTAACATTCCATAAGCATTAACAATAAAATGACAACTAAGAACATTTTCAATGAATTTTCATGGTTCTGTGACTATGTTGCTTTGGAGAAATGACTCTTAAAATCAAGTAGTTAGTGTGGAAGAAATTAATTTACTTAATTGAATCATCAAGCCAGTTGGCAGTTTTAAGGCTTATACATCAGCATATTAGAAGCGCTTCATATTTCTATTCTCCCCCCTTTTCTGTGGGAACAAAGAGGCTGTGCAACTATAGGCTTTCTGTATTTCAGTTGGAGCGGTACTTAAGTAATGCTTGGAAAATCCTACCCAAGCTCTTAGAAGAATTGCAATGCTATAAATAGTCTTCTTATTGGATATAATAAAGTTTCAGATTGATAAACAGAAGTTATATATATAGATATGTCTATTCTATATACATAACTTTTCAGAATGAGAATGGCTCACTGACTACTGTAAATACACATGGGCATGGGCTGCAAGTGGGTTTGCCTTGTGAAGATGCACAAACATAACACATTTTAAACTCTGCTGACTGATAACTTATGCTATATTTTATTCTAATTGACATGTGTACTTGCTTGTTCCTGTCTATGTAAAGGACATTAGACTTCCTTTTTTTTTTTTTTTCAAGAAACCAATACTTTCCAATAATATTGATTTTTAGGGTCAAGTGAGTTCATGTGCACATGGCTAAAGGAAGAAGTCCTTTTGCTCCCCATGTCACTCACTCTCGGAGGCTCAGAATCGGAATGGGCAGATCTCATTTTTCTTTTTATCCCTTCCTAAAATCACCTCCAGTCAAAGAAAGCCAGAGGGGAACACTGAGACTGAAGTAACACTTTTGTTGACTAGCAGACTTCACTTAAATATGTCTTTTGGGCTCATGAGTTGCCATGGTTACGAAGATAAATGAAAAAAGTAGCTGTATTCTTGATAGTGATACCGTACAGACTTGGGATGCTGTTAGAGTTGTTCTGTGTGGTCTGCAGCCAGAAGTTACACTGTAACGACCCTGTGCAGGCTGGATAACCATACCGTGCTTCATGGGCCAAGTCGCGTTGTAAGGTGTAACCCCGGACCTGAGGACCTCTCCATTTAAAAAAGGTCCCGTGCTTCTCTGATTCATTGCGTTTCCCAAAACCAGCTCCTCCATGTCATGAAATCGTACTGAAAAGCAAGGTACTGGAAAATAACCTTACCGCGCCCCATTTGCTCTTAATATAAGACATTGGGACACGTCTCTAACAGCAGTGAGTCCTTCAGAATCAGACAAAGTGTGGACAGAAAGATTTTCTGTTTCTCAAGACCTGCTGTTTCACTTCTGGCCTCTTTGCCCTTCTGAGTTTTGTTATGATCAGGGGTAACTGCCAGACTGGTAAGTTTTCCTAACACTGCACGACCACTTCTGCTTTTTGTGAGAGCCTGCAAAGTTTAAATATGACAGAACACAGACTAGCTTCTGAACGTGCTTTTTTTGTTTTGTCTTGAAAGAACAAAAACTGCTGTCAGTGATGCTTTAAGAAAGATTAAGAAAGTAACTCCTGAAAATGATTTCCCGTATTGCCAGAAGAATTTCAGTGCTTTTTAACAAAACACTTGCATATAATACCTTAAGTCTTATCACATGTATGCACCAGGAAAGAATTCCGAACTCTGGAGATCCCCAAGGGAAAGATTGGGGAAACAATACAAATAGAATATAAAAACAAAACACTACTAAGTTTGCATATCTGATGTCAAGATGCTGAGGTAATATTGACAGCTTAAAAAAAACCCACCAGTCTTTGCCTCTGTTATTGCTGCAGAAAACATGAATACTGATCGAGTTACCTTACTACATCAGAAGTGGGGGGGGCGGGTTTCACGAACATGTACGTGGTGAGGGATAATGTTGAAAGCAAGTAAAAGAATGTAGGTAAATGGAAAAATATAGAACTACGGGGATGGTATTATCCTTTCTATCTGAAGTGAGGGAGACAGTCCAACCCCAGTGGGGTACATGACGAGCCTTTTCATGGTTTCCCCTTCATGAATTTTTGTACATTGTTACCACCCACTCAGATTCTATTTCCAAGTGAATCCTTAAAAATGAAATCCACAAGTTCTTAATAAATAGTTGCAGTTCCCCCTGAAGATGCTGGGTAAAGTGCAGAGAGAAGCACCAGAGGAGCCCTCGGCTGGCTGGTATGGCTTTGCCTAAATTCGGATTTGGTAGCCCACTTCATTCAGAGTGCTGAGGTCGGCCCCCTTCTTCTCAGGCAGAGCAGGCCTGCGGGGGAAAGGCAGGTGGTGGGAAGAGGGGATGGGACGGAGAAAGAAATTCAGTGTTTTCGGGGGCCACCTTGACTCAGGTTCCCTAACCCTGTGATATTTGCCCCTGTCCCACCCCACCAGCCTCAGCTCCCAACTCTGCCTCTTGTTAGTAAGTTCACCTTTTACAGGTTTTGAGGAACATCTTAACAGGCTTTCAATCCAGAAGTCATACAAATGCACAGGTTGCTGAGTGAGTTTGTTCAACTTTAAGCTTGAATTTGGTCACACTCAGACTTGTGAACCTTGCAAGGGTCTAAAAAGTCACATGTACTACAGTAGAGCTAAAAATCTGAGCCAAATTCTCCTTGCAACCTTGGCTTCCTAGTGTCTGTGCCCTAAGGGAAGCCAGCAGCTCCAAGCCGTCTCAGATGATTCAGTCTCACGGGAGATTCCCAGCTCCAGGCCAGACCTATATAATCAGGGTGAACCTGTGACAGTACATCTGAAAAAGCGTGTGACCGTGCAAAATCATTCAGTGGCAAAACCTCTCTCTGCCCTAAATACATTTCCTAAGGTACTTTCCACTACACACCTACACCTAAGCATGTATGTGTCTTCCCCTCCCCCGTGTGGCCTACTTGGAGTAAATTCAGTAACAAAAAATTCACTTTTTCAAAGACTAAGCTTGACGTGCCCATAGGTAACCCTTGTTTTAGAAAAGGATTAAGCAGGAGACATTTCCTAGAGCAATTAAAATATGATTTCCCCACTACCTCTCCTAATATTGTATTTCTTGCCCCAATATACGTTACTTTTGTTTTTAGCTGATGTTTTTAATGCTCTGTGTGATGTTTTTAATGTTCTGTGTCTTGACAGCCTATTCGTTGCCCCTCATCATCCATTCTCCCCTCCTTCCTTAGTGAAGACACCCCGATT